GCGCGAACGGGCTCGTGAGATCAGCCAGGGTGGCTCCCCCTTGGGGCTCCCAAATGATGCCCCTGGCAGCGCTTTGCGACCATGAGGCTCTCAAGAGAGACATGTTGGGGAGGCCAAACGGCAATTTTAGCTGAGACGTCCCACCAAAATCGGCGCGAACGGGCTCGTGAGATCAGCCAGGGTGGCTCCCCCTTGGGGCTCCCAAATGATGCCCCTGGCAGCGTTTTGCGACCATGAGGCTCTCAAGAGAGACATGTTGGGGAGGCCAACGGCAATTTTAGCTGAGACGTCCCACCAAAATCGGCGCGAACGGGCTCGTGAGATCAGCCAGGGTGGCTCCCCCTTGGGGCTCCCAAATGATGCCCCTGGCAGCGTTTTGTGACCATGAGGCTCTCAAGAGAGACATGTTGGGGAGGCCAAACGGCAATTTTAGCTGAGACGTCCCACCAAAATCGGCGCGAACGGGCTCGTGAGATCAGCCAGGGTGGCTCCCCCTTGGGGCTCCCAAATGATGCCCCTGGCAGCGTTTTGTGATCATGAGAGAGTGTGAGTGTGAGTGAATGTGACTGAGAGTGAGTCTGAGTGAGAGTGAGTCTCATCTTATCTTATCGAGTCCTATCTTATCTTACCTTTATTACCCTCTATCTTATCTTATCTTGAAATCTCTTATCTTGTCTTAGCTTATCTTATATCAACTCATCTTATCGCATCATATCTTGTCTTATCTTATTACTCCATAGGCTGTTTTATCTTATATATTATCCTACCTTGTCATATATCTTATCTTACCTTATCATATATTGTGCTATCTTATCTTATCTTGTAGTATCTTATCTTGTCTTGTCTTATCTGGTGATTATCATTGGGAGGAGGGAGGCGCGAGCGGGAGGAAGGAGGAAGGAGTCCGCGCGTGGGAGGCGTCAGAGTAATAACAAGAACCCCAATCCTTAGGATATGGGGAACAAGAACCCCAATCCTTAGGATATGGGGAATAAAACATACAAAAACCCAAGGGAAAACCCCAAAACTGCCATTAGAGCCAATCCGCTCGCGCTACGCACCCCCCTGGAACCCCCCTTAAGGGGCTTCGCCCAACACACAACGTCATCGCTCGTACCTCGCTCTTTCCGTTACCTGGCCCGGCACAGAAACCGAAAGAGCGCTGCAGCAACAGATACCGAAATTATCTCACACCAACTACGACATGAAACTACGTAAACATAACACAACGAAATATGACAACACATGTGATATTAAATACTATAACGGTATATGATTGCATACTTATGTGGCCGTAAAGATAACCTAATCCCGCCAGCCCAGTGGGCGACAGGTGGTCTGACGAGGGTCTCTTTCCTCTTCCACAATCCCTCTTCCCTTCGGGAAGGGGGACTCTCCCCCTCGCCTCCCTGAAGTTTGTTTTGGGAGGGGGTCGCGATGTGTCGGAGGTTCCTTTTTCTGCCACTGTGGCCCCCGAGGGGGGGGACGCAAATCTAGTACCCCCACTCTTTGATCCGACCGCCTCCAAGATGGCCCCAAGAGGCCCTCCAGGGCTCCCAAGAGGCCCCCAAGAGGGCCGAAAGAGCACCCCAAGAAGCCCCAAGAGGCATCCAAAAGGCACCCCGAGAGGCCCCCAACAGGCCCCCGAGCGGCCCCCGAGGGGCCTCAAAGAGCCCAAGAAGACCTTCAAGATGGCTCAAAATAGCTCAAGCTGGCTCCAGGTGGCTCCCAAGACAAGATGCTCCAAGAGGCCCCAAGACCGCTCCAAGACTGCTCAAGATGGCCACGGAGCCTCCCCAGGAGGTCATCAATGGGCCAAAATCCTTTGACTATGCGTGTCTCTCCCTCTCTCACCCCGTCGGCTCTCATGGGCTGGTGGGGGTACGCGAAGCATCAAGAATATCATCGGCACCACCATCACCGTAATCACCACGACCATCACCACCGCCACCACCACCTCGGCCTCCATCATCACCATCATCATCGTCGTCATCATCATCCTCATCATCATCATCATCATCATCATCATCATCATTATCATCATCATCATCATCATCATCATCATCATCATCATCATCATCATCATCATCACCACCATCATCATTCACCACTCATCATCATCATCATCATCATCATCATCATCAGCAGCAGCATCATCATCGTCGTCATTACTATTACAATCGCATCACCATCATCAATATCATCAGCATCATCGTCATCATAATCCTCCTCATCATCACCGTCATCATCAACCACAGAATCCTCATGTTCCTCAACATCCTCATCATTCTCAGTATTCCCATCACCCTTTGCATCCTCATCCCGATGCTCATCAGCATCCGCATCATCATCATCGTCGTCGTCATCGTCATCGTCATCGTCATCGCCATCGTCATGGTCGTCATCATCATCGTCATCATCCTCGTCATCATCATCAGCCCTATCGTCGAAGCCGTCGTCGTCGTCCTCGTCGTCGTCGTCGTGGCGTGGTCGTCGTCGTCGGCATCCTCATCAGCAACAGCAACATCACTTGGCCGTCGCGATAACCTGACTGGCGCCTCCGGGTTCGAAGCAACATACGGCCAGGCAGCATTAAAGAAGAGCGGTCCTGCGTCGATCAGACGGCTGGGCACTTGAGCTACAAGAGAGCGCGTTAACACCCTGACAACTGGCCCATGTGTCAGCCTGAAAAGCGCGAGAAACGCATTGGGGAATCCTGGGAGGTCCAGCCGATGCGGGGGCCGCGCGAAGCCAGACCGCACCCAGACAAGACTACGGCATCATCATCATTACCACCACCGCCGCCACCACCATCATCAATATCATCATCATCATCATCATCAGCATCATCAACATCAGCATCATCATCATCATCACCACCACCACATCGTGCCAGCATCTGGGTCTCTCTACTTATTCTGTCGCAGGGATCGCGAATCGACAGCTCGAGGTGGTGTATTGATATTTGCTCTATCCCCGTATGCTCATATGTTCTCGCCTCTCCCTCGCTCGTTCGTCGCTGAACTTCTTCGGTGCCTGTTCGATTCTGATTGTGGCCCAGTTCTTTTAGGTTGCATGTATCGGCCGCCCAGCCACGGAAAGATTGTTTGTCTCCAGGCGTTATTCACTGAGTGGGAGCTGCATTCTCCACTGTCTGTAGGCAGTTTGCTGATCGGCGATTTTAACGTGCATCAGAAGGAATGGCTTTATTGTTCGAACCGTTCCAGCCCAGAGGGGGCATCGATGCGACAAGTGTGCACGATGCGTGGTTTTTGTCGAGCAGGTCCGGAAACAAATTCGCAATAGACACCTGCTAGATTTAGTATTGACAGACGTGCATGACATTGTGAAGACCGAGGTCATACCTACTATCGCCGACCACAGTGTTGTGTTAGTGCTTGTTGTCCTCCCTGCTTTGTCTGATACTCCCTCTCGGCGGCAAGCGTGGGATTGTAAGTTTCCCCATTGGAGGGCCATAAAGCAGAGCATTCGCGCGGAATCATGGGATTGGATCCCCATGCCACTCCTAACGCGTCTGCTTTAATCTGCCACGGCAACCGTGGTCCGCCACCGCGACCCCTGGCACGTTGAGGCGCGGTAGACTGCCAAGTTCTGCCCAGCAGGGTACCAGTAGTCCGTGGTCTTCTGAGGCCCCCCCTCCCATGACATCCACTTGCCTGCATAGCCACCTCCCCCTCCCCTCCCAAGGCTCCCTGGGCCGCCCCGACGCCTCCCTGGCGATCGCCAAGACTCTCCGAGGCCTCCACGACGGCGGGGGCGAGGCCACCAAGGCCGCCAAGATGGCCCAGCATTGCCTCAAGAGGCACCCCCCAGACGCTCTCCAGGAGGCCATCGGGGGGCCAAACTCGCAACTCGGTTTCCGCGCTCGTCGGTCGGAGATCGATTCGTCTGCGGCCTTTGAAGACGCGAAGGAGCGCCCGCCGAGTGCCACCAAGAGGGCCCCAGGACAATCCAGGACGGCGAAAAGGAAGCCCCAAGCTGGCCAAAGAGGGCTTCCATAAAGCGATCAGGACGGCCCAAGGAGGGTCCCTGGAACGCCGGCGGCCCCAAGAGACACCCCGGACGGCCGCGAGGACCCCAAGACGGTCCCAAGACGGCCCACGAAGGCCCCAAGGGACCCGCGGGACTGTCCCCCGCAGGTACCCATGACAGCCCAAGAGATGACCCACACGAGCCCCTGAGGGCTGCTCGAGGAGTCGAGAGGAACAAGTGTCGCATGTAACAGCCTGCCTGGCGGTGGTCGAAGGGCCGCCACACAGAACGCTTCGTTGGCACGGCGGCATAGGTGCCGCAGGCAACTGGATGTGCATCACGCGAAGTCTGCCATGGCAACCGACGACGCGGAAGGACCCATGCCGCTCACTTCTTGAAGAGCCACATGGTGGATACAACCGGCTGGAGGAACCGCTGCCTCTGCGTGGCCGTCCTCTCCCAGCAAGCCTCCGACTGCAAACCCTGCTCGCCCCAGATGCTTCACGTACACATTCAAGTAGCCGATGCCACTTTGCGTGCGTCCTTCAACGACCTTCAGCTCAACCTTCCCAAAAGCAACCCAATCTGGAGTCTCGACTGCACGTTTCGACACGACGTGACGGTACCCTCCAGCTTGCTTCGCCTCTGCCCACGACCCCGTAACATTAACATCGACGAAATAGAGGTCCGCGCAGGAGCTACCCATTCGGCGTGCATCGGCCTGCACGCAGAGTAATGCCTCGTCAGCGCCAACCCCCTTGGGGATGTTAATGAGAACGTGCTTGCCTGGCCTCATCAGATCGAACCGCTCACCGTGGACATTCTGCAGGTGGGGGTCGCCAGTAGCAGCCACACCGCCAGCTCCGCCCGCCGTGGGAGCCCCCGGAGGAAACGTCGGCTGCGGCGTCGGCCAGCCCGGAGGAAACGTCGGGCTGGGCGTCGGGCTGGCCGTCGGGAAAAGCGTCGGGAAGACCGTCGGGAAGGCCGTCGGGAAAGGCGTCGGGAAGGGCGTCGGGAAGGGCGTCGGGAACGCCGTCGGGGAGGCCGTCGGGAAGGCCGTCGGGAAAGGCGTCGGGAAGGGAGTCGGGTAGGCCGTCGGGAACGCCGTCGGGGAGGGCGTCGGGTAGGGGGTCGGGAAGGCCGTCGGGGAGGGCGTCGGGTAGGGGGTCGGGAAGGCCGTCGGGAAGGCCGTCGGGAAGGGCGTCGGGTAGGGCGTCGGGGAGGGCGTCGGGGAGGGGGTCGGGAAGGCCGTCGGGTAGGGCGTCGGGAAGGCCGTCGGGTAGGGCGTCGGGTAGGGCGTCGGGAAGGGCGTCGGGTAGGGCGTCGGGTAGGGCGTGGGATTGGGCGTTGGGCGAGGTGTGGGGTACGATGTTGGCGAAGGGGTCGGTGCAAGAGGCAATCTGTCCGCAACCATGCCCTCTGGCACGCTGAGGCACAGGAGAATATGCAAAGCGCTGCCTGGTGGGATTCCCGTCGTCTCCTGAAGGGACCCCTCCCCCTCCAGCACCCAGTCGCGCGCACCTGCCCCCCCCCCGCCCCCCCCATCTCGAGTCCCCCAGGCGCCCCGACGCCTGCCCAGCGCTGGCTCTCCAAGGTGCCCACGGCGCCCAAGATGGTTTCCAAGACGTCCCAGGCATGCCACCAAGGCCGCCAAGATGGCCCAAGATGCCTCCAAGACGGCCCAAGACGGCTCACGAGGCCCCCAAGACGGCCTGAGGAGACTCCAAGAGGACCTCCAGCAGGGCCTGAAGAGCGCAAAAACGCATCTTACTGCAAAATGCGTGAAGGTTAGCGCTCATAGCGCTTCAACACGGCCAAAAAAAGGCTCCAAGATGGCCCCGAAGCGGCCGACACGAGCGCGTCACTTGCTACTGCTCTTCCAGAGACCCAGAAGACGTGACACGTCGCACGATACGGCCTTGTGGGCGGTGCTCCACGGGCCGCTGAGGCGCAGAGCGTGCGCGCTGGCACGGTGGCGGAATGTGCCGCAGGCAGTTGGATACAACCTCCAATTGCTGTTCGCCCCTCCCGGACTGTAATTGGTACAGCATCTGCACCCCCAACTTGGATAAGTCGGGCTGAACATGAAGCCAAGACCGCATGCTGAGTCACCAGCGGTTGCGGCGTAGCACTCGTCCGCGCTGCTCTTGTAGCCGAAATATTTCGCCTGCGAAGCGCACCCATAGCTGCCCACGAGGAGGTAATCGGCTTTCTGGTACCTCTTCCAATTTGTGTTGTAGTGGTCATTGCCCGCGCCAGGAGCACAGCATCTGCACCCCCAACCCCAGGACGGGTACGTGGGCTGCATGAAATCGGAGCCGCATGAGGGGTTGTCAAATCCGCCAGCCCCCTTGGGAGCGCAAGGCTGTGGGGTTTGCGGCTGGACTGCTACCCTGTGTTCTTGCTCATGTCTAGTGACTAAGTACTGTCGCTTGTCTCTCCAATCCTGAGAACGCCTGTTCTCTACTGCACGACCCCCCCAAAAAAAAACCTGGGAGGTCCCTCGAATTCACGGCCGCTAGATGGTACCATCGCATTCCCACAAGAACGCCACAGAACGGCTGAGAGTGCCCAAGAAGCCTCGAAGATGACCCGGGAAGACTACGAAGATGGACTCGAGAGCGCAAGACAGTCGAAGGTGGCCCCACGACGCCTCCAAAATAGCCCAGGAGGGCCCCAAGGGGCCCCCGACGGAGCAGAATACACCGAGAAACCATAACGGGTTCGATCTTTCTTGCCAGACCCATACCATGCTCCCAAGAGATGTCTGCGCTTCAAGACGGCACCTGGAGACCCCGAAGTTGCCAATACGACCGCAAGGAGGCCCCCAGAGGCCCCAAGATGCACCCAGGATTGCCGAAAAGGCCACAAGATGGCCCCAAGATACCCTCTAGATGGGTCCCTGGGGCCTCGAGGAAGCCCCAAGATTAGGTGCAGATGGCTCAGCCTGGGTGGTCTGACGGGAAAAGGCGCAGCCCTTCAGATATCTGAGCCTCGCAAGACTCTGCGGTGGCGTGATACCCGAAATTAATCACTGTGCCGCTACAGTACCAATTGTTCAGAAAGGTCGCACCTCCGGATTCATCGCTCATCTGCCGCTCTGGCGTGACAGGCACAACCCCTGTAGTCGTCGCTTCCTCACTGGCCAGACTGTGAGCAATCGCGAACATACCACAGCAGAGAAAGACAACGCGCGGAACGTTCACTGCCATGGGCGCTGTGGAATGCGGTGATACGGTCTCAGCAAGAGAGCGTTAATGTCCAGTTTGGTTCGATCCAAAAGCGGTTACCTCGCGGGCGCTTTGGGACGCACTTGAGCAAACGTTGCGATGGACTGAGTGAGAAGGAGCGGGAGAGGGATGGGCACGACGAGGGAAAGGACACTGCGGGCTGTCGTCTCAGAATCGCTGCCTGCTGCTCCCGGAAGCTTCGAGGGCGTGCGCCAGGCCTGGCAGAAGCCAGACGGGGTTGCCCGAGCTCGGGCCTCGAGTGTGGCCCGTGTTTTTTTCCTGGGCAGCGCCCTTGCTCAGGTTGCAAAGTGGCTTCGCAGGTCATGACCTCCCAGCGGATCCCAAGAGAGGCTCACGAGGGGACGCGCGAACGGGGAAGTCGAGACCTCTGCTCCAAGATCATCCCCGAGACCCTCAGGAGACTCCAAGGGGTCCCCGGGATGCCCCCTGGAGGCCCCCAAGAGACCCCCAGTAGGCCCCGAGGGGGCCCAAGATGCCCCCGAAATGCCGACCAAAGGCCCCTAGCTGGGCCGTGGAGGCAGGAACTTGTTACGTCACCGCTCTCTGCTGGGAGCCTTGGTATTATCAGCTTGTTTACGTCACCGCTCGCTCTGGGGAGCCTTGGTGTGAAGAGCTTTTTGCGTTACCGAGCGCTCTTGGCGTCTCTGGGCCTTCTTGGGAGTCCTATTGCGGCCCTTGTCAGGCCCTCCTAGAGGCCTCTTGGGGGCCTCTTGGGGGCCTCTTGGGGCTTCTTGGGGGGCTCTGGGGGCCTCCTGGGCGCGTCTTGGGGCGAAAGGCTCGACTTTTTAGATTCGCGGTCCCCCTCTTGGGGCCGTCTGGGGGCCCTCTTGGGCCGCCTTGGGCGCCTCTTGGGCCGTCTTGGCGCCCTCTTGGGCCGTCTTGGGGGCCTCTTGGGAGCCTCTTGGGCCGTCTTGGGGCGGTCTTGGGGGCCTCTTGGACCGTCGTCCACGCCGCGGAATCCGAAAAGCCGTGTATGCTATAAATGTACGTTTCCCATAGGAAATCCATTATTTTAGCCTCCTGTTGGCCTCGTGGGACGCCTCTTGGGGGCCTCTTGGGGCTGTAGGG